CAAACACAGCTCCCATTTTAGTCAGTGATTGTTTTAAGGCAGGTGGGGGGAGGAAAAAAACCCAACAAATAATTAGGAGGTGGAAAACATAACCAAATGGCTAGAAGTGGTTGTTTTTCTGCTTGTCCCTACTCATCCTTGACTCCATGTTTCTGAAAGCGTAGGGTGTTACCAGTTCAGAACAGTAGCATTTTACACTGGTGATAATACAAATTACATATGCTGCAGTGCTGCAGAGACCCAGAGCCAGCATGTACATCTTCTTTTCTGCCACTTTCCCCACCCTCTGTCTTCACCTAGCGCTGGGTGGTCTTTGTGGCCCTGGAGGCCCACAGCAGAACTGGGAATTCTGCTAGGCCTCCCATTTTGGAGGTGAGTTGTGACAGTTCAAACATTTTTGGTGTTCTTTCTCCAAACTGCACCTGGGAAATGACAAAAAAGTGACTTTTTCCTAAAAAGAGTTATTGTTTTGTGCTTTAACAAATCAGGACTTATCACCATAGGCCATGGTAACACAATGAGTTGGACTGACACCACTGAGGGGCAGTTCTGACAGAGTGGCCAGGAGGGGAACAAATGACTAGAAAGCAGAGGGCATGAAACTGTAAGTTTAAACCTGCTTCCAAATGAGTGAAAGGGTGGAGGTGCAGCCTTACAACCACTCACCCTAGTTTTCCGTGAGGAAATAACTTATGTATAGTTATATTGGAGAGGTTAGGTCAATGCTCAGAGGCTATATCTTGACGTTCACTCATCTGTGTGAAGCTGCTATTCATAATGAAAAATAAAGCAATTAAATGCTTATGTGTCTAATAGGTGCAATAGTAAAAGCCACAAAATGCCAAAGTGAGAAAAAGAGGTCAGACTTCTAGTCTACATGGCATTTTTTGACATCGAAGTTCAAGCAGTCACTGAGTAGGGTTGGTGTAGATTAGAAACAAACAGTGATAAGCAGACAGGCAAAGGAGCAGGTTAAAAAAAAAAAAGAAAAAGAAAAAGAGAAAAAAAAAGAGAAAGAAAAAGAGAAAGAAAAAGAAAAAGAGAAAGAAAAAGAGAAAGAAAAAGAAAAAGAAAAAGAGAAAGAGAAAGAAAAAGAAAAAACCTGGTAGATTAGACCTAAGGAAAAAGATGGTAGATTAGATTAAGAAAAAGTGAGAGATTCTGGTTATTGTCAAATCTGGAAGGAAGCTTGGAATAGAGAACAAAGATACTGCCCCAGTAAATAAACAGGGCTGCAACGAAGAAACACTGCCTCAGACAGCGGTATTTCCTCCTACTGGAAACAAACGCTGAATCTTAGCTGAGCATTCAGATCCCGGCCTGGAAGAGCGCACTACAGCAGGGTCCCAAAAGTTTCCAATCTACCGCATTCTCTTCGCAAATCTCAGTGACGTGTTGCTGCAGAGGGAGTGACCAGGAGATGGCAGTCTTGGATATAGCAAAACAGGTCACAAACCTACCAACGGTTAACTACGGACGATCCTGATGACTTGGTGACTGCTGGCACTATTGAATTCATATGCAGACCACTTCTGAAAGAGTTCATTTCTGTGGGCTAGTAAAATTAACATGGAGGTTTTTCAACTTGTAACATCAAGTTTTATTGGGACTTCTGGTCCATTACCGTCAGGACAAAAATAAGTTTGTTTTAAGATTATTGAATTAGCTAATAAATAACCAACCACTTCAGAAGACCCAAAAGACACATACTAGAAGGTTTTGAAGTCAGCTTCTGAAATAAGGAAATATTTTTTTCTGCATGTCCATAATGAACATGATAATCAGTGATACATTTAAAGTGTAGCAAGAAAACATTTTCTAACATAAGGGTAGCGAATCACTAGAACAGACTGCCCAGGAAGACTGTGGAATCTTCAGGATTGAGAGGTCTTTGTAATTTCACACATGAAATTTTTATACATATGGCAAGGTAAACACAGATGTAGTTGATTCTGCCGTAGACCAAAGGCCTGGAGTAAATTAACATCTGGTGATTGCTTATCTTCTATGATAATATCTGAAAAATCCATTAAGTTTAAACTGGGGTTTTGAAAAATAAAAAGCATACAGAGGTGATATATTGTATCTTTGACCACTTGAATCTGAGAAAGTGCAAATGTGCAGCAGAACAAAACCAATATTCTGGGATGTGGAGAAAAAGAATTGCAACTTGTTCTTCTTTAAAGATATCCTGTGGATTTCCTGCCACAAAGACCATAAAGACTCCATTGAATATTTAGCAGCAGAGTGCTTATTCATGAGATGAGGCTATCTAACAACTCATCTAACTTACTGTAGTTGAACAACAAAAAGAAAGACAATTGGTATTAAAAAAATTCCCACTCCTAAACAGGACAGATTTTGTTGTGAGGTGGTGAAGACATTGTATACTTTAAGTTAGAAATTAATCCTGTTACTGTCCCTCCACTTTGGTTTAATCACAGCTCATCCTGCTCATCTGTGCAAGGAAGAAACTAACACTAACATTAGAGAAAAAAGGAGTATCAAGCAGAGTCTAGAGGAAAATGTCTAGAACAATACCACCTCTTCAGCCTTACTGATACAATGAAAGTTGCCACAGAAATCTTGAGGAAACATGTTTACTTATTGTCATGCTATAATTTAATAGACTGGGAGGAAAAAAATTGTCAGCTTAAGCTTTTAAGTGTTTTTCCTGTTACTCATCACAAAAAAACTACTAGTCTGTATGTACCTGAAGATGATGCATACACTAAACTTTGTAAACACAGAGAAATATCAGGATTTTATTGGGAATTTACATCCCTTCATATTTATTCCCCAGATATTTGAATGTCTTCTCATGGAAATTAAAATATTTTTAATTGTATTACCTTGACTGGCATTTGGTTGTTCATTCACTTTAATCTGTTATAAACTGTTGACATTTTTCGTGACGTAGCACTCGAGATTCACTTACACTGAAGGCTTTTTGCCCGTTTTGTGAGCTATTTCATCTGCTTGTTGCACAGTAAGACGTGCTCTAGTAATTAACTGAACAGAGCATTTTGAATTTACATAGCATTAAACACTCTCCCCAGTTGGGGGCGCATCCTTAAAGGAATAATCCTTGTCAGGAACCCAACAGACTAAGATGTCAAAAAGAAATACTTAAGTCTGTTGCTTGTAGTTTTTATCTCATTTGCCCTTTTTGGGGGGAAAGTTTCCTTAACAATAGGAACAGATGATAACAGAGTATTTTGCTTGTCTTCAGGCATGGTGGCCTGTAAAGAATGCTGAAGTCTATGCCGTGCCAAATGGACACCAAAACCAGAGGCATGGCATTGGGACTCACAGGCCCAAACTGCCAAGAAGCAGAGTAAATAATCTCACATTGCACTTCATGCTACAGCATTTAGACTGCTTCCAATATCTGAGTTAGCTCAGGTACCTCTGCAGTGTCAACATACAGTCACAACTGCCCTCATTTGAGTCAATAAATAAACATCGATTATTTCCCTTTTCTCACCAGTTCAGAAAAACTGGCAAATGTTTCAAGCTGACACCCTGCATCTATGCTGGAGATACATTCCATGCCCATGTATCTACAATATGTGTATCTGCTCCAGAGAGCTGTTGCAATCCTGCATTACAACCATGCAGAGAAGTATGTGGAGCAATAATCAAGTACTTCATGCACATTAGTTCCTTCACATGTTCTGCAGGGGCACCTGGGCAAGCAACAGCTTTCCCTGCTTATGGTTGCTTCCTTGCTTATACTAAAAAGAAAAAAAAAAAAAAAGTACCAAATGGAAGTGGAAAGAAAAACTACTAATAGTTCGGGGGGTTTAGTAATTATTTTTTATTGCATTGCCCTGTAATCCTTCTAATGCTGTCCTCAAGATGTCAAAGTACTTGATAAGTAAATACAAGATAATCCTGTTCTATAAGATCTGTATTTCCCTTTCACGTATCACTTACTCCATTAGGGCAAAATGACACTACCCAACGAAGACAGCTGCAACTCCGCTACATGTGAGAAATGCCATTGACATCCCTGGGAGCACCTTGCCTCAATCCTGCATGGGCTGAAGAACTTTAACGTCTATAGACAGGTTCAACAGTTGGAGAGGCAAAGCATCTTCCTGGACTCAACCCTGTTATGGTCAGTGAAACTGTCTCACAAATACAAATGCAGCTTTTTAGGTTTAACATGCCTCCATAATTCTTGTCTACCCAAAGTTTAAGATTTCTTGTTTGTTTAGAGCTGTAACTTAAAGTTTCTTTTTATCAGTTCCACAGTGTCTCCACATAACATGGCAAAAAATATCAAGGGTCATTTATTACCTGATTTATTACCATTTCGGGTATAAATAGAACATATATAAGAAGAGTTTGTCCCTCTATCATATTAGATCATTGTAAAGATGAAATGTTTCGCAAACATTAATTTTGCTTCTCCATCTCCCTTATCTAAAAATGTTGATACTTTGTTTTGCAGATGAAAAACTGCGGCAAAACATTAAGTCAGAAATAGACCCTCATTTAGGGCACCTAACCTGAAAGTCTAGGACCTGTTTTTTGTACATTAGAAACTTCACATCCATTTTCGTATTTTTGTAATTGCTGTACTAGAATGATAGCCAGGGAAACTGATCCTACAGACAACTCCTTTAAGAAGAATAAGCAGGCAATAAAAACAGGCTTGTTCAACTTGTATATAGACACTGTATGTTTACAAAAGCACGACTCAAATTTCTCTATGAAAATAAATCACAGAGTTATTTTTCATGTAGCCAGCTTTTCGTATCTGCAACTTCCTGATCTAATGTATAATTGTGTTAGCAAGAAACATGGAAAAATATGAAACTTCTTTAAACCAAATTGGTACTTATAAACTATTTATTCTTATAATTATTCTTATAGTTGCTCAGTTCATTTTCTAAACCTATTTTATGTTACAGATAACTACATTTTGCTTTTCAAACACTTAAAGGAACAACCTTGGACATAATAGGGCACTTGAAAATAATATGACATACCTTGTTTAGCTTCACAAAGTATTCCAGTCCAGCTTCCAAGGGATTAGTGTCACAGTTCATCTGTTAAAAAATATAAATTCACCATCTGTACATGATGGACCATCATAGCTTTTGGGCTGGGGGGTTTATTTATTAATTCTATGTATCCTTCTATTTACTTCTGTGTCAGTCTTCCATGTTGCATATGTGCATTTTCTATTTGAATACACTATAAACTTTGAGTCTGTGATTTCAACAGAATATCTACTATTATGCCTAATATAAAGTATAGATAAGTAAATCATTCATCTAATTTTCAATATGCAAAATAAACACACATTTGATTAAGAAACAGGATTTTTTGTCAAAGCAGAATGGAACCTGCAGAAGATTAAATAACTGGGGTATGCACATGAATTGCAACACAGCAGAATATCTTAGCTGGAGAGGAAAATAAAACACAGCCAATTTTATTCACCACCTTCCCACTAGGTGTAGGGGGAACGATTTGTTAGGCAGCATTTGAAGCAAGAATGAAAACAATCATTACAGGGCAATAAAAAAGATCCCTAAATGCCCATCATTTCACATTCTGAAGTTCTTTCCTTTCAAAAGGAATTAGGAAAAATCTCAGGTAGGCAGAAATTAAGCAGATTTCCCCCAAATTCTCTAGGCCTCCCGAGCAGTTCTTTATTGTGAGTGAGCAAATTTGGCAGAAACAAGCTAATGGAAAATGAAAAAGTTCCAAATACATTATGAAGCAAAGAGTAATTGGCCTCTCATGACATAGTTATCACAAAAATAAAACATTTTCAGAATCTATCAGCCAATCCTTTGATTTCAAAACACTAGAGCTCAGCAAAACCCCCACAATTTTGTTATACACAAGAGGGAAAACCATCAGTGAATCTAAATAAGTGTGTCTCTGCCAGAAGTGCGGTGGAGTATACTAGTTATTTTTATTTAGAAAATACACTGCTCAGAATTATAGCAGCTTTTCCTGCTCAAGGTAAATTGTCTTTTCATGCTAAATTCAGAAACTGGAACAAACACTATCTGTGCTAACTCTGACTAAAACTTATATAGACATAATGAAATTAATTAATTAATTATATTTTTTTTTTAAAAAAACCCAAAACACTAGAAAGAATAACAAAGAAGTTATATTTCCTGACCTCTGCCCCCCAGGCTCGGAAACCCTTTTCCAGCCTTAAAGCATTCAGAGCATATGTTCCAAAGTTGTCAATTCCCTCTTTTTGGCCAGCTTCCATGATTGCACTGTAAAGAGCTACAGAATCTTCTTTTCTATGGTAGAGCTCCCAGCCCAATTCACCTGTTATACAAACAAGATTAACAGTTTCATCAGGTAACCATGAAACAATCGTAATAAATACAGTCCTGTCCTTGGCAAAATGTGGGGATTAGTGCTGCAAGTGTTAATTCACATTCCAGGGTCAATTTTGCTATCATATGCCAAGTATAATTCCCTGCAAGAACCACCAGAGGATTCATGCCCTAGATCTTAAGCAGTGATACTATTACTCTAATTTAAACTGTTAAC